TGTTCGGAAGACAAGATATCCCATCAGCAGTCCAAAAACAACTCCACATCCATAGCCTAACACCACAACTCTCCAGTCAAATCTCCACAACTCATCTTTTTCTTGGAAGGAGCTCGGCGGTATCCCAATTCCGTCGCAAGATTGTGACAATGGGATTCCACATAGTCCAAGGTTTCCTTCATAAGAACCATTTTCAAAGGTGTTGAACTGACTGCCCTGCGGTATGCGCCCGACAAGATGATTATTTGAAAGATTCAATACAGAGAGTTGTGTCAAAGATACCAATTCATCAGGAATTTTCCCCGCCAGCTCGTTGGAAGAGAGATCCAACGATTCCAGATTTGTCAAATTCCCTAGTGATGGTGGAATATGACCAGTAAGGTTGTTATGAGAAAGATTAAGCCCTTTGAGAGAACTAAGCTTTCCAATAACATCTGGAATTTCTCCCTCAAACATGTTATTTGAGAGATGAATACTACTGAATACGGTCAAGATTCCCTGCAGCTCATAGTCAAATCCCTTCCATGTCACAACCAGTGAATATTGATAAGAACTGACATTCATGTATTCAGGAGAACCCTCATCTCTATAAAGTTCCATCATCGCTTTAAAATTTTCGATGTACCGAACAGGCAAAGAACCAAGAAAACCATTGTTGGAGAGGTCCAGAACTCGTAACCTGAGGAAAGATGGACTTTCTTTGATGCTCTGCACAGAACCGTGGAACTTGTTGGACCTTAAGACAAGCACTTGAAGGTCTGGTAGAGATTCCAACCAATGAGGGAATGAATCCTCTATGTTGTTGTTGCCAACGTCTAGAACCTCTAACTTGCTACAATTCACCAAAGACCTTGGTAATGGCCCGTCCATTTGATTTCCATGTAAGTTGAGATTTCTTAATCCACAGCCCTTTGGAAACCCAAAAGGTATATTTCCATCAAAGTAATTGGCTTGCAAATCCAACACTGAGAGAGACTTAGAAAGACAATTTGGAATCTTCCCGATTAAATTGTTATGAGAAAGGTCAAGAATTTCAAGATCATCCTTTTCGCATATCCATTGGGGAATATTTCCATGAATGCTATTTTTGGATACCACTAGGCTTTGCAGACCATTTGAATGCCTTAAGAAAATGGGGAATTCACTCAAGTTACAAGAAGACAAGAAAACATTAGTTAGTTTAGGTAATGTGAAGTTGGCATTGACATTCATTCTCAAGGACAGATTATTGTATGAAAGAATGATGGTTTCTAGATTTTGAAGTGAGAATATGTCAGATACTACTAAATCACTAAAATGATTTGATGATAAATCAAGATAACTAAGATTTACTAAATTAGCAATTAAGTTAGAAATTGAGCCCTGGAGTTTATTGTTTGATAAATCTAGACGTATGAGGGATTTTTGCTGGAATTGATTTATTTGACCTTGAAATTGGTTATGACTGAGATACAAGCCTTTTAAAAAAGGTAGGGTGAAAATCCAAGGTGGCAACGTGCCATTAAGTAAGTTATAAGATAAGTCTAGATTGCTTAGTTTGGAAAACCTACTTGCATCAAAAGGAATGGGACCAGAAAACTGATTATTTGAAAGGTAAAGATCACTAAGTTGTGTGAGGTATGCAAGTGATGTTGGGATTTGTCCATTAAAATTGTTAAAAGAGAGGCTTAGATCAGTTAGTTGCCTTAAGTTACCTATGGAAGCTGGAATGGGACCAGAAAACTGATTATTGGACAGGGAAAGAAGGGTAAGTTGTGTGAGGTTTGCAAGTGATGTTGGGATTTGTCCGCTAAGATTGTTATCAGAGAGGACTAGGTATGTAAGTTGAGATAAGTTCCCTATGGAAGCTGGAATGGAACCCTCCAAGTTGCAGTCAAAAAGAGTCAGAGACTGTAATGACTTTAGATCTCCTATAGACTCTGGCAATCGCCTTCCGCAATCTGTGACATCTAAATGCAACCGTTGCAGAGGACTGCTCCAATTGGAACTAAAAGGATCAATAGCGAGGTTTCCCTTTCCACCTAAATAAAAATCCTTGAGATTTGGAAAGCGAAAAATACTGTTTGGAAAGTTTCCTCTTAACTGACAATAAAAAAGACGAAGAGTAGTCAAAGAAGAAGAGAGATTCATGAAGAAACAAGGATTAACTGAAGTCATGTTCACTCCATTAAGCACAAGTTCTCTCACCTCACTCAAGTTATGAACAAGATTTTTGAAGGTAGTTGTTTCAAGGATCAAGTCAGAAGAATTGTAATAATTAGAGAGATTGAGAGAAACTAACTTGGGGAGGTGAGCAATTTCTGCTGGAACTTGGCCCGAAAATTGAGAAGAAGAGATATCAAGATGCTTTAGTCTAGTAAACTGACTGATTTCTGGTGGAATCTTGGAAAGCCTAAAATTATTGAAGGCAAGATTGAGGCCCTGCAGGTTTTTGAGGAGAAAAAGACTGCTGTTCGAAGGAAAGGTGCCATAAAGGTGACTGCAGCTGAGATCAAGGGCGATTACATGACCTGTGACATTATCACAACTAACCCCATCCCAGAAACAACAGTCTATACCTTCCTTCCATGATTCAGTCTTAGAATAAGGTTTGGTATAATAATATTTACATGAATCAGGATTAGAAGCAGTGAAATTGATGGAAAAGGAAGTCTTGAATTGCAGCAAAGCAAGAGCCTCCTCATGAGAGCAGCGATGTGTTGCTGAGAAGGAAGAAGCATGTAAAGAGGATGAGAAGGCAGCTTTAAGACAGAGGAAGAAAAAAGGGAGGCAGAGTGATGTAGAGAGCATTGTGAGGATCCCCATTTCTCTGTGCGGCATGATGGTTTCAAGCTGGAAGAGTAAATATAGGGTGTTCCAAATTTGAGATATACGAATAATTGAATATATTTCATCAAAACAAAAATAAATGAATATAGAACATAATATTGACCCACGATAGACGTCATTTCCGAATCTACATTTCCGATTCCTCTCTTATTTTTCTACTTTGAAATTAGATGGGGTAATTAATAATTACAATCACATTACTAATATAACTTTAATTAGTAATTTAAAATTTAATAAGAAATTTTTATTTTTGTCATGGCGTGATGTAAGAAGATATTTTTTTGATTAAAAAATTAGAATTAATAATTTAAAAATATTATTTACTTGCATTTCTTAATATATATATACATATATATAACAAATATTAATAGATAAATATTAATATCAAAAGATTATTTAATGTAATTTACAATCACTTGCTTTGAATGAGGTGAGTAGAACACATGCTGTAATCACTTACTGCAATTCTCATTCTAGACTTTATGTACTTGTTAATTTCTTACATTTTTATTTTTTTAGAATGAGTCTAAATGATTAATAAACTGATTAAGGATGCACTCTATATATGAAAGAAGGAAAAGTTTATAAACAAAATTGATGAAAGACCTAATTGAGTCTTAGTCATGGGACTATGATTTCAATTCAAAATTTAGAAATTGGCTCCTAGTTTGATTGGAAACACTTCTACTCTTGCATTGCATATTGGCATATACATACATCATTTTTATTGCATGTCGATTTCCACATATACTCACACATGTGGTCAAGAAAATGTAACTAAGGAAACTTGTAAGTAGTTGTAGGAAAGTGATGGACAAAAAGGATTGAAAAACTCAAGTTATTTTTGGCTTCTTTATAAAAGGTGCAACATTGATTTACATATATCATATTTTTTGCATGTCAATTTGCACATGTACTTGACAAATGTGGTCAAGAAAGTGCAACTAAGGAAACTTGTAAGCAATTGCAGGGAAGTGATGGACGGGAAGGATTGAAAAACTCAAGTTACTTTTGACTTCTTTATAAAAAGTCCAACATCAATTTTGCTACTTTTTTGAACAAATAATTTTCCACCAAATGTATTTCTCTTTGATTTGGTTTGTCCATCAAACAAAGACAAACCATTTTGGTTTCCAGTCTGAAAGATACCCCACCAATAGTCCAAATACCAACCCACAACCATAGCCTAACAAGACAACTTAAAAAAAACTATTTCAAGTACCATTAATCTCTCAATTTTCTCAAGAATTGAGTAGGTGATCAGGGGAAAAACTATTGAGAGAGTTGAAACTTGGAATACGTACTTGGCTAAGTTGAATTGTGCTGGGGAATATAGCAGTCATGGAAAATAGTCAAATTTTTTAAGACATAATAAAATTGAAATAATACACGTTCACTGTAAAAGCAAACAAAAATCAATCAACGTATATAATATAATATAATATTTCTTTAAGGAAAAAGATGGAGTTTAAGAATTTCCTCTATCATGTTTATATACAGCCTAGGCATATGGAACCAATTATACACAGCTTATATATAGAATCAAAATAATGCCCGCAAGCAAAATAAATCTAATCAGTGTAGGACCAAGATAAGTATCAAGATTTTTTGTAGAGTTCACCCATGCATTCTAAATACCCAATTAAGATGGTTAAGTTTATAATTATGCTAAAAATAATTATCCCACAAAAAAGAATGCTACATAAAAAATTCATTTATATAAAGGGTAAACATTGGAACATGATGATATTTAACTTGTCATGAAGCGCACTAAAAGAGGTAAAATATAAAAATGATGCTCGTCAGTGAGTATAAAAATGATGCTCATCAGTGAGCTAATATCTGCACCAGGGATAACATTTGACTCACATTTATCAGTAATTTATTTATTTTTATTTTATTTTAATAGTTTAGGTTTCATGTTAATTTATTTTCTTTTTATGGCCCAGGTTGATGCATTAATGTGGAGAAATTCATATCTCACTAAGAGGTAAATTTATTTGATTAGTTGAGTATTTGGTTTATGAATTGTTGTTCTTTGATTTTGGCCAGGTCATTGTACAAGTTTGGGGGATGAGATTACGAAAATTCACATGCTTGGAGTCTCCAATTGAAAAGAACTCAACTTCAGAACTCAAATTTTCAAGTGCAAAACCTAGGAAGTTTCTCTCTTCTTTACCTTTATTTTACATTGAGGACAATGTTTGATTTAAGTTTGGGGGAGAGAATAACTTCATCCAGTCTTAGATTAGTTTGCATTCATATTTGCCTGACATACATTTTTTTTTTTTTAGAAACTAGGGTAAATTTTTTTTAGGAGTTGGTCCAACTAGTGTAAAGGAATTGAATATTCTTGAGTTGAAAATTTAAAAACTTCTAAATCTTTTAATCTTAGAGGAGATACAAAATCTGAAAAATAACACCATTGTGATGAAGTTTAAGTTCATGAGTATTCTATTCTATTTGAGCACAAGGGTACTCTTGGAGGTCAAGATAGAGGATCCATCAACAAGAAAATCAAGAATTTCAATATTCTTAAATTAGGTTTTGTTTTTCCTTAGATATTCTTATGTTCATAATTATGATTTCAGATTTTATTATTTTTATCATGAACTAATTTATTTTATTAAGGCTACGATGTAACCTAATCAATTCAATATAGATTTTGTGATTTTATGTTTTCAATTAAAGTTATTCGCATGAAGAGTTTATATTATTGAACTTAATGCATTGGAAACATGATCACTTTTCGATTGATTTAGTGATTTATGCATGAACTTGAGAAAGAATTGTGTAAATTAGACCAATAATAATATAAACCGTGTGCTAGACTATGAGACCGAGAGGTAATTAACTCACATGTGGTAATGGAGGAAGAGAAGAGAGTTAGGAGCTCCTCCTTCTTAAGCTAGTGGTTTCTATAGAATTTAATGCTCATTAGTTTGTTTAAAATTACATAGAGATATAATTAATTTAACAAATAAGTAAATGATTAACTTGACTTGAGAAAACTAGTTAATTAATTTAGGAAAATCCACCATCACATGCAATAACACTCAATAAATTAGCGTACTAATCCAGAATTTATATTGATTGATTATGGTGAAATCAATGCCTTAGTACCTCATATCTTGGTTAAGTTTAATTTAATTGTTATTTTCCTTTTATTATTTTTTAGTTAAACTTTCTTCATTTTCGATAATTCAAATAAATTTAAATTAATTATTTTGGTACTTAATTAGACACAATTATCGTGGGTTTGACACTCTCTCATCATTATATTACTTGTAGCAATTAGTCCACTTACTAAGGTGATTTTAGTGCATCATTAACTTTCTAAAATTTTTTCAAAAGTTAATTAATATTCACTTTAAAAAACAATTTTTAAATTTCCCTTAAACAAAATTTCAAACTTATAAATAGTACTTTAAAACAGATGTTTTTCAACATTTGCTAAACACCTTTAGTATATTTAAGAAGAGCATTTAAAAAAATAAATTTCAAATACTTGTATTATAACAGGAGTAGTGGGGTGAGCACAGAGCAAACTTTTTTCATTGTGGCCTTCATATAATATTAGAAGAGACTAGTGGATTATCATTAACCATAGAATATGCATAATAACATAATTTTTTGTTTAGCTAGGAATTGATTCTAAGTAAGCAATTACAAGGAAACATCTTAAATTAATGTGACTAATTGTCATTGACTAACATTGAAGCTCGCATGGTATATCCCTTTTATTCAAGGTATTCAAGTAAGGTGCCTAATAATTATTTATTTTAAATATGCACTATTATATCATAATTGTATAATATAAGTGCATACTACATTTGCTCACTTAAGCACCATTGTGCATTATGGTCTAACAGGAATGCATATATCACATGTATTTTATTGTATGGGCACAATTATATCTTATTTTATAATAGGAGTGCTATATAAAATTTCAATTAAGCACCGTTAGTCTCACCACTGATAATACTACAAAAAGAATACCTCTTCTTAGAAATTTCTCTATCCCTATGCAATCTTCAATGATGGAAATATCTCAAATATGTGATTTTTAAATTTATCAAATAATTGAGTTTATAAAAAAAAAAAAAACTATTTTCTCATAAGATTTTTTTACGAGAACTTATTAGCTCAATTCATATATTATCGCCACAAATGACTCATTTTATATATAATTGATTACACAAGTTTAAAAAGTTAGATTACATATCTGCAATATACCAACCAAAATTTTATGATAATTTTTGTCAAAATACGTGGACCATCTGTATAAGAAAAAAAATTTATATGGAATTGATCTCATACCTTTTTGTTTTTATAAACTCAACAAAGCATATAATTTCAATTTTTTTTTTCATAAATATATGAAGTTTAGGAGAGCTAGCTGCTTTGATATGGGAAATATTAATGCTCTTAAATTATACAGTAATTATAATGCAGCATACGTACTTAGAGACTACAAACTTGCATTAGCAAATTTAAATATAAAAAAAATGATAGATCAATACATTTACATTTTGAAAATTTTCTTCTAATATTGGAAATATGTCACTAATTAAGTATCACATTAAAAGTATTAGAACACATATTTTACATGTATTGCTAAACTCAAAATATAAAAAAAAAAAGGCAATGTGTTGCATCCTCTTCTTCCTTATTTAGCTCTTAGAAAATATATTTTATAAATATCATACCAATATTTCAATGAAAACATATAATTCACAATATGGTCATGTTATTCGTGTGCCCGCTAGTGGGAGGTTTATAAACGCAAGCACATGTCGACATGTTTACTGATAGGATCGGTCCATTCTGTAATCTTGCCAATGGGATAATACATTGGTTATTACTGAAATCCTGCCAATGGGATAAAACATTGGTTACTACTGTGCCTGCCAGTGAGAGGTTTATAAACGCTAATCATGATTTATAGATGAGATTACTACTGAATTTTCTTATGCATTAACGATTTATCATTGAACACTTTGTTATTGAACTGAATCTGATTCTGTTTTAATGGTTTATCATTGAATATTTTGATATGTTAAACTGTTTATCTATCATATTTAAAATTTTACCGACAGGCTATCCATATTTTACTTACTGAGTTATCTCATAGTTTTTCCTTGTTCACTATTTCAGGAAAGCGAAGTCAAGGACGGGGAAAAACGAGGGGAGTGACGAGTTAGAAGGCTAGCCACTTGTAATTTGATATAGATTTTAGATATAGATCATGATCTTGTAAACTAGATTTTAATTAGAGATTTTATAAATTCATTTAATGGATTGTTAGTTTACAAAAGATTTGACCTTGAGATTTTGAGTTTAAGTCATGTTGGACATAGAATTATTTTGAAATATCTGATTTAAGTTATTGGATTGTCAGATGTGAATTGGATAAATTTCGAGCCTTATGCATTTGTGGGACCCTCTTATGAGTGCATGGCGTTTGTTACGCCTCGGATTTGGGTTCTGGGGTGTAACATCACATAAGGAAAAAACTATTTTAGTACTTATCTCTCTATTTATAATACTCAAACTTGAAAGTTTATTTAAGAAAAATTAAATTTTTTTATTTAAGAAAAATTAAATTTTTTTATTTAAACACAAAGGTCATTGGAATTTCGTTCTACTTTTTTACTAGAGTTATTTTAAAATAGATTAAAATCTGGACTTTAATTGTAAAATAATTACATATCTCATTTTCATTAATAAAAGTTGAAGATACCACATATATTGTTCATTATTCATACATTACAAAAGAACAATATATGTGATATTTTCAACTTTTATTAATAAAAATGAGATATGTAATTATTTTATAATTAAATTTCAAATTTTGATGTATTTAAAAAAAAACTCTACTAGAAAAATAGGATGAAATTCCTAATGACCTTTATATTTAAATAAAAAGAATTTAGTTTTTCTTAAATAATATTTTAAATTTGAGTATTATAAATAGAAATATAGATACTAAAAGAGTTTTTTTCTTATGATATCTAATTTGAGTCGATTCTAAATTAATTGGGGTAAAGGGAAGTACCAAAAAAAAAAAGGATTAAATTAAAAATATAAGTTTTCTAAACTGAAAATTACTTAGAATGTCAACACAATAATATAAGTGTCGGTACTTTTCCTACAAATCTAAGTTGAAGGGCTTATTTGCACCAGGTAAGGAGTTGAAGGGCTCAATTGCATCATTTAAAGGACTTAAATGTTAATTTGGGGTAAATCTAGGGGCTTAAAAAGGAATTTTGCCTTTATTTTTATATGCGGACTGAATCATTTTGAAATTGTTATTTCTCAAATATTTTTCTTTATTTTTACATCATGTCATTATTGTATTTCAATCACAAAATCAATAATTTTTTAATAAAGTAAAATCAATAAAATTGATAATTAGTGAAACTATCAAGGAAATGTCAATAAAAAAATCATTAAAATAGACATAAAAACTTACTTGTTTTAAGTTACATATTTCACACCTGATAGATCCACTAGTGTAGCAAAAGAATATACACAACATGCCATCCTACAGTTTTATAATAATGTTTTATAAATCTATATTATCTATAAATTAATCTAACTCAAGATTCATTTTTTACCTAAGAATATTTAAAAAAATAAAATAGTGTATGCAAGTGACTAACAGTAGAGGAACTTTCTTATTTGAGCATAATAATATGTTTTATTTATAGAGCGCTTAGTCTTGTAATCTTTATTTATAAGTTTAATTATAAAAATAAATTGTGAAATTTAATATATAAATTTCTTAAAATATACTTAATTAAACTCTTTTTATATTATTTTATTAATGTCAATTTAATAATTTCATTGCACGGACTAAACTTCAATATATATTGTTAGACTCGAACAACACGCAACTCTAAAAAATAATATAATATTTAAAAAAATTAAAAATGTACTTAGCTTTAAGAAGTATTTTACTCAAATACCAAATGGATTTAACTTTATTCTTAAAATTTTCAAGTAAGCAATGTATTTACACACAAACCTCTTACATTGCCACCCCCTCTCCAAATATTATTTACAGTTTAAAATGAAATAAGCAATCGCACAGCCTCTTTTGACATTGTTTCTTGATGCCAGTCCGAAAATTAAAGTTTATGAGCTAAAAAAAAGGTTTTATACCAATGGTATTGGACTTAATTCAATAATTGATTTATTAATTATTAGTCTAATTTTATTTTAGTTTATAAAATTATTATTTTAAAATAATTTATAAACTTTATAAAATATTTTAGAATAGTATATTATATAGAAATTC